AGTAGCAGATTTTAAGGGACATGAATTTCCTCCAGTTGTGCTAACACCGATTACCGAGGCTCTTGTAGAAGATGAAGGATCTCATTTGACATTCTTTCTTTTTTTTAATACAATCTTTAAGGGAAGGTCCTGAAGTACCTTCTCCAGTAGAGTTTAGCCCACCATAATAAAAAGAGGAAGATGCTTGGCATCCCAGAATTATAGACTAATTCTTGAATTAATATGTGTTAGAGCGGGAGGTTCCAAAGTTGTTATTGTTATGCCTATTGTCCATTGAAGCATTTCTTAGGATAATGGGATCGGGTTTCCCACAGATGGCATTAAATAGTTACGGGCTAAAATATTCACATTGGTAAAGTAAAAAAAACTTCACATCTTAGCATTGCGTGAGTATCCAACACATAAACACAAATAGGGATAAAAGAAATACTAATTTTTTTTTTACGTAGAAAATCTTGAAGGGAAAAACTAAGGGGCCACACCTACTTGAAATGATTCAACTAATGTTTAAATAGATTATAAATGACTGATTCATCCTTAAAATTATGGAAGATCAAATTACAATAATCAAACATCTAGTTTAAATATAGTGATGGATATAAATTGGATGGAAATTCGATGATGTTAAGTGGTTAGGAGAAAATCTAATGTCAATTTTCTGTTAGGTAGAAGTTTGGTTTCAGTTTGTGGCCGGGTGAAAGTTGAATGTCAGTTAGTGGCCAATCAAAAGATTGTCAATAATCTGGTGAAGATAGATTGTTGAGTGGTGGTCGAGGAGTCTAGTGCCAAGAGAATTCTAGTTTCTCTCTTCCTTCTCTTTCTTGTTTCAATTCCCATTCAATGAAGAATGAAGGGTCTATTTATAATTTTTTGATAGTGGCGTGGTATAATAGTCCAAACTCTTAATTATCAAGATATTATCTTCTTTGGCCTAAGAGCCTCTTGATTTTGTCCTATTGGTGTATTTTCCCACTAGGTCACCCATCCTAGAATAGCTTTAGGATGAGCACGCTTAACTGTAGAGTTTCTTAAATAAAATTTTAACCATTACACCAAAAGACACCTTGATGTTTAAGAGTTTATCTTCTTTTATTTATAATATTTCTTAGTCTCCCCCACTTAAGTAACTACCATACTCATTATCATCTTTATCTTAGAAACATATACTAAGAAGATAGGATTCTAGAGGTTGCCCCTACAAGTTCAAGTAATGGCTTCTATCACGTAACCCTACTAGACAGGGCTCCGAAGGTGGATCCCAGGGCGTGGCACTTCATATTGTATGACACTTAGTTCCAATATTCCATCTATTGTATTACTTTGATACAATTATTAACAACCAAAACTTTTAACTATCGAGATATTGTTTGGTTTGGCCTAAGAGCCTCACGATTTTGTTCTATTGGTGTAACTTCCTAGTAGCTCACCCATCCCAAATATGAGCATGCTTAGAAATTTTCTTAAATAAAATTCCAACCATTACACCAAAAAGTGTCTCGATGTTTAAGAGTTTAGCTTCTTTTACTTAAGGGGTTTCATAATCTCCTCCACGTAAGTAACTAACATTCCGGCCAATATCTTTATCCTAAAATCATCCACTAAGAAGATAAAATTCTAGAGGTGATCCCTACAAGTTGAAGTTGTGGCTCCTATCACGTAGCACTTTGTCCTATACAAGATTCAAGAGGTGGCTCCCATGTCATAGCACCTTGTTTTGTATGATATTTATTCCCATATTTCGTCTGGTGTATTGCTTTGATACTATTTTGTAATAGCTCTAACTCTTAACTATCGATATATTGTTCACTTTGGCCTAAGTCTCATAATTTTTTTCCTATTGGTATAGCTTCCCAGTAGATCACCCATTCCAGAATTACTCTGGGATGAGCACACTTAATTGCAAAGTTTCTTAAATGACATTCTCCATTATACCAAAAGGCGCCTCAATGTTTAAGAGTTTAGATTCTCTTACTTGAGGGGTTTCAAACATGATCAGTAATTAGGAGGGACATCAAGGGTATGTTGGGAGTGGTTTGAATGGACGAACGATACTAATCCCTTTGATCATGGACCTTTTAATAGACAATTGAATATATTAATAATATCATAATTCTATGATCTTGGGCTCATTAGATTTGTCTCGTCAAGCTGCTCGATTTGATTATAAGCATGTAACATTTGAAAAATTTGTTTGGTAATCTAAATTATGGTTTGAACCTTCCAAAGAAGCTTCGAGTGTTCGATTTGGACCCATTTGAGCTCAAATTGAGTCAAATTTGGGTTCGTTGGGTTCATCTTTTGAAGACATTCAGTTCTACTATAAGTTTGCTAAAATCAGAGTATGGACGGTCCCTGATTTAATATTTGAAGCTTTCAACCTGATTTTTCCTTGATATTTGTGCCTGATCAAGATAATTTATGATGATGTATCAACTATGATTGTAGAAAACAACTTTCCAACATAAAAACTTTTAAAAAGCTGTAAAAAAGCAACAAGAAAATAGTAGTCAAATAAAATTATAATTACTATTTGAAAAGCAAAGCAGCCAGAAAATTGTCCCAAATAGACCCTAAGTCTGAATGCTTTGGCTCTTCCATTTATGTTCTCCCTTTTATTAGGCAGTATTTCAAATTAACTTTAAGAAACTTCCAAGCCAATAAAATTATTGAAAGTGAGTCATGATATATCATCAAAAAATTAAATGGATCGGGCACGAATCTCGAGGGAAAATCAAGTTTGAAATTTCAAAAATTAAATCTGGGATCATTTGAACTCTTATTTTATCAAACTTACAGTCGAATTGAATGTCTTGGAAATACAAATCCACAACACCAAATTCAACTCAATTTGAGCCCAAATGAGTCCAAATCAAAGACCCGAAGCACATTTGGAAGGTTCAATCTATAATTTGGATTACCAAATAATTTTCAAATATGGTGTGCTTATAGCTGAGTCGAGCGACCCTATGACAAGAATTTAACGAGCCCAAGATCTTTGAATTTTGATATCATTAGAGCCTTCAAAAGCCCAATAAATGGTCCTTAATCAAGAGATTCAACATTGGCCATCAATTCAAATCACTCCCAATTTATCCTTGATCTTCCTCCTATTTACTGGACAAGCCACTCTAAAAAAACTATAAATAGACCCCCTCATTTCTCTTGAGAAGGGACCCCAAGCAAGAAGAGAAGAGAAGCAACAAGAGATGGTAAAGAAGAAGAGGAGAAGGAAGAGACTCCTCCTCGACCACCTTCGGACTTTCACCCGACAGCCGATCGACGGCAGAATTAAGCAAGGAAGCAAGAAGATAAGGAAGAAAAGGAAGAGAAGGAAGAGACTCCTCCTCAACCATCACCGGACTTCTACCCAACAACCAACTAACGCCGGAATTCTGCTCGACAATCAACTGGCGTTAGATTTCTGCCCGACAGCCGATTGATGCCAGAATTCTGCCCGACTGTCAATTGAAGTCAAATTTTTGCCCGACCACCAGAACATCGTCGGATTTTTTATCCCCATTTGTAACTGAGTTTCAACATAGGAGCTGATTATTGTAATATGATCGTCCTCAATTTCAGGGATGAGTTGGCCATTTGTAATCTAAGAAAACATTAGTAAAATCTTTTCAACTGGGCGTGTCCCTTTGCTTTTTCACTTTTCTAGGGTCCATGCAAAAATTTTAGTGTTCCTTTTTTTATTTTGTTTGTGTGCTGGATATCTGTACAAGACTAATCTGAAAAATTTTCTAACTCTACCACCGCGTATATTCTAGTCCGCAACATGTCAAATAATTTTTGGTGGTTGGAGATGAAAATAAATTATCCAAAATTTTAAACTTAAAAAACTCTTATTAAATTTTTGATGAAAGGTAATATTAATATTTCTTTTGGAACATCTTTTTTATTTCTTTCTAAAGTAGATTTCAAATACATAATTTTTTAGCTTAAAAATGTTTGTGTTAAAAAATAGCTTTAAGAAACAGTAAGAAAGCCGTCTCAAATGAAACCTAAAAAAAATATATATTCTCATATTTATAATTCTTCATTTTTTTTCTCCATCTCTCTTTTAATTTTCTTTTCTTTTTTTAAATGATCAATACATAATCTTTAATATAGATTTTAAGTTCTCTCATTCAATTTAACTCCTAATAGCTACTTTTAAATGATTAATTGTTATTTGATGTAAACCTTTATCTTTATGGAGCAACTTAGTTATCTTAGTATTGATTTCAAATGCATACAATAAATTAGTTGGGAAAAGACATTTGAAGATAAGGATAGACTTTCTATAAATGATGTGGGGTTATGTTCCTATAAGAAAATATATATTTTTTGCAAGATAATGTTGCCTTTATATACATTTAAAATTGTTATACTTTAGCTCATTGAAATATTTTTTACAATTATAGTTTCATGAACAAACTTCTTAATATAATGATGCTTGAGAATAACATTAATAATTTTAATTCCAGGCTTGTCTAAGACAGTTATTTTCTTGATTTGCTTTTCAAATAACAGTCATAAATTTATTTGATTACTATTTTTAAAAAAATTTTGAGACGAAAAATTGCTTTTTACACAAAAATAACTATTATTTCGCATGTGACAATTTTTTTATTAACTTTTAAAATATTATTTTAGTACGAAAATTTTTATAAAAAATTTGTTATAAAAAGTCATTTTAAAAAGTAATAAGAATGCTATCAAAAATACTAAATTATTTTTCCCACAATAAATTTACAATCAATTTTATAAAATACTACAATCAGACTCTTAATCAAATATTTCAATGTCCCATTCATCAAAAATATTATATGTATTTGTCTATTTGAAAATATGTTTATTTTTTATTATAATATACGTATATTTAATTATAATTTCGCATTTAAAGGTGGCACATGTTTACTGCTAGATTTGGTTAATAAAGGCCCACGTGTCCATAATCGCGTTAGAATACAGGAATAGTGTTCGCGGAGGTGTATGCCCTCAGGCCTGCTATATTTGTGCGGCAATCCTTTGCTTAATGTGATCCTCAAACTACTAAAGCATTTTGATTTGTCTCCGTATTTTACTTTCGGCGTGGAGTAGGGAGCCCTTTTTCTTCCTCAATCTTCTCGGGTTTATTGTTCTTCGGTAGGAATCCTGTGATCTATGCTGATTAGGAGACGATTTTACTAGCATAGAGAGGAGTAGAAGAACGAGCGCCGGATCTAAGAAAAGATGTCGTACGCCTATCTTTTCAAGTACATCGTAATCGGAGATACGGGTAGGCTTCTCTTCTTTGTTAGTTCTGCCAATTAGAAGATGGATTGTTCTTTCTTAATTGGATGAGGATGGGAAGGTGGGGTATTGAGGAGATTTGATAAATAAGAAACTTTCTGCTAAGGATGGATTTTGTAAATCCGGTAAATTTAAAATCGAAAACTGTTTGACACGATAAATTGTGATAAATTCTTAAATTTTATTAAATTCTGATAAATTGTTTGATTATTTATTTCAAAATTTAAGATTTATGAGAAGAAAAATAGTTTAACCTATTATATTTGAGGAGGATTTACATACACAACACTTTATTATGATTGATGAAATTTAATAAATCCTAAATTTGATTTAATGAATAATGAGTTCATAATAGTATGATTTGAAGTCGCGATATTCAAAATTCTGAAAATTCTGTGTGTGGGATGATTTAAGCTAAATCCTGCTTAAATCATTGGTGATAGAGGACACCAAACTGCCCTATAATTTACTTGCATCAAAAACTTGTTTGGCATGACTCAACCTATATTTTGACTAATTCATAACTATACCTTGCAACCAAACAGCCCCGAAACCCTAAAAGAGTCGCGGCCCTGGGGAAAATGAATGAAGCCGAGGGCTTTATTGGTGGTTGTTGTTGTTCTTGTCTCTCATGATTCTGGAAATCCTTTTCATTTTACTATTGTTGTGGCTGGTAAGGCAAGTTGCTTTCTTTTGATAGATAACATATTCTTCTAATTTCTTTTCAGCTGTTGGAAAATCATGCCTCCTATTGCAATTTACCGACAAGAGATTTCAACCTGTGCATGACTTGACAATTGGCGTTGAGTTTGGTGCTAGAATGATTACGGTAGATAACAAGCCAATAAAATTACAAATATGGGACACGGTTCGTCATTCTTATCTTTTTTTAGATTTATTAGTGTTTTCATGGTGTTTTATAGGTGAACGATATTTAAAATATGTGATATTTTGCTCATAATATTTATAGCAATATGAATATTAAAAATACTTTTTCTATTACTTTTGCACAGTGCGATAAACAAATATTAGTCTGGGGTAGGTAGGAATGTTCTATCTAGTTTGCTTTTTGATTTTAGATTCCTTGGATTGAAGTTTTATAAACTTTTAACTTTAGGGTTTTATTTATGGTTTTAGCCTTTTAGGGTTTAAATGTCTATTGCAAAATCATTTACTATAACAATTCAATTTGAATGGAACTAATTTTGTGTAAATTATGATGCTCACTTCGGAATGAATTGCTTTGTGTATCATACACTTCTAACACACATATTATATGTGACATATAATACTGAGAATTTGGTTTGATTAATTTACCTCCACATGAAAACGTAAGACATGTGCGACGGCTGTTCTGTTTGATGGAAACTTGGCACCATATGGTTTTTTTTTGCTACCAAGCTGACTGCCTAAGATGCTTGACTGCTAGTTAAGGGACAACTGTGACTTGCTTTATGAAGAAAGCCTTTATGGTTTATCTTTTGATAAATTATCGTACTTGCTTTATGAGGGAGTCTTTTTTGGCTTATCTTTTGATGGTTTCAAGTGATATAATTGCTCCATGAAATTAGAACATTGTAAAAACATAGATCTTCGATCAAGTGAAGGATTAGATCATGCCAAAGCTAGAAAGGGCTTGAGTTTTTGTAGTTAATTTTCTAGTAGATGTTAAGACTCGAGCAATCTTAATATGATAAATCGTTTCCTCATAGAACACTGGATAATATGTGCTTTCAATTTCTTCAATTCCAAACTGAATGCCTTGAGAAACTAGATGAATTAGTTACATCCAAAATATATTGAATATATCTGCTTAATACTCATGTAAATCATGAATTGTATTTTCCTTTAGAGTTAGAATATGTAAAACTACCTCCATAAGTGAGATTTACTGTCTTTTACAGTCCTCTATCCAGTTTTTAGGCTTACGTTGATATCCTGTTTTAGAGGCTAGCTGAAGTCGGATGATTTTGGGTTAGGTTTCTTAATACAACTAATATGGCGCATAATATATTTTCATATAATGGATAGTTGATGATGCACAAACCCAAGCTAACTATTACACCAACAATTTTAAATGAAAACAAACAAAGGGAGGGCTTAGCCCCAATTAATAATGAAATGATTTTAATTATCCAAGCAATTTCAGCTAAAATTTGTAAACAAATAAAATCAGCTAGCAAGCTATTTGATTTTCACAAAATCAAATTTTCCATACATCACTTTTTTACTAAGTCAAGAGGACTAAACTAACCAATAACAAACTATGCAAAAGAACTAAACTATGCAGAGGAAAAAGAAAAAAAAAAAAAAAAAGGCCTCATGCTGATTCACAGAAATGACTTCCTTGGAATCAGATAGTCACATTTATACTACACTTTAAGGAATTATACATTGAACTAGCAATCACAACATTGAAAACTTGAAGAGAGAAATTTTATTTAAGCCAATAATTATGAATTACATTCTTTAGACCCTTTTTTATCAATTACTAGTCCCGACTTAGGTTAGTAGATTTGATTGGTACAAGATTAGTCCCAATTTACATTTAGGTTAAGCCCAATGCTTTTTTGCTTATGATATTCTTCTTGCTGATGAGACTATAGAGGGAGTTGATGAAAATTTTCAATTATGAAGGTTAAACTTAGAGTCTAAAGGCTTTCGTTTGAGTAGATCTAAACTGAATATATGGAGTGCAATATTTTTAGTAATAGATCTAGTAGTGGGATTGTGACATTAGATATCAAGTCATTAAAAGGAGTGCACATCTCGGGTCTATTGTTCAAAGCGATGGTGAACTAGATCGGAATATTATTAGTAGAAATAAGTTGGATGGTTGAAGTAGATGAATGCATCGGGTCTGTTGTGTGATAGCAAATTACCCATCAAACTTAAGGGAAAATTTTATAAGATGGCGGTGAGACCTGCAATGCTTTTTGGCGTAAAATGTTAGTCATTAAAAGAGAAGCATAAAATTAAGTTAAGTGTTATAGAGATAAGGATGCTCAGGTGGATGAGTGGCTTTAAATTTAGAGATAAAATGCGGAATGAGCATATACGTGAATAGGTTGGAGTAGCTCCAGTAGAAGATAAGATTAGAGAAAGTCTCCTTAGATAATCTGGTCACATAAAATGTTGGCTTTTTGATGACCTTGTTAGGAGAGTAGATGTATTATATCCAACTTATTTTAAGAAAGATAGAGATAGACTTAAAAGTTTTAGTTAGAAAGTATTAAAAATGATTTTTTTATTAGATTTAAATGAGAATTTAACTCTTAATGGACACAATGAAGAAAAAGAATTATTTAGCCGATTCTACATAGTAGGATAAAGACTTTTTATTATCCCCAAAATAGCTGATTTGTTTAATGTTTAATTTAAAATGTTTAAGAAACCAGAAAAACCAAACAACCTGCCCTATTTCACATATTTGTAGCCATTGCACAGGAACAACACCCATATATCTCATTTAATTTCATGAGGATAGATTCTAATATTTAAATACACTTGGAGCCACAAAACCACAAATCACTTGGAACCACAAACTCGCAAGATTTGAGCAAGTTATCCCTCTTTTCTTTTAGTTTAATGAATAATTCCAATATCCACCACAAGGTAGTAAATGACAAAGACCGCCACATCACTACCATCTAATTATGTTGAGATTCCGTTCTAGTTTAAGTACAAGGACTTCGTGAATGAAATAGCCTCGGTCAAACTTTACCTCTTGTTGATTCCTTCTTTCACTCAGCCAATTGGTCACCCCCTTTTTCTGTCTGCTTCTTAGAACTTCCATACAATTACAGGCAGGCCAAGAATCCTTCAGATCTATAACTAGATCCTACTATAGAGGTGCTGCTGGTGCTCTGCTGGTGTATGATATTACCAGGTAGATATGCTATTTGTGTGCTGTTTGTGTTCCTTTAATACTAATAACTTGTTCATGGTTGTTTATTTTCCATATTTTTTGTTTTTAATGTGATTTTCAGGCGGGAAACCTTCAATCATCTTGCAAGCTGGCTGGAAGATGCAAGGCAACATGCGAATGCTAACATGACAGTTATGTTAATTGGAAACAAATGTGACCTTGATCACAGAAGAGCTGTAAGCACTGATGAAGGACAGCAGTTTGCCAAGGAGCATGGACTGATCTTTATGGAAGCATCAGCAAAAACGGCAAAAAATGTTGAGGAGGTCAGTACAGCATGAAAACATTTTGTTTGAGAATTCATGTTTTCTTCCCCCTGTTATCTAATATCCTTACCGACCAAAATTTTTCCAGGCGTTCATTAACACCGCAGCAACAATATACAAGAAAATTCAGGATGGGGTCTTTGATGTCTCAAATGAGGTATTTGATTATTTTCTTCTCTCTCTCTCTCTCTCTCTCTCTCTCTCTCTATCTATATATATATATATATGATTGTGTTATATTGAATGCTGCTGGTGTGGTTTGTACAATAGCAGGGAGATATTGATTATAAAGTTTTGGCAATTTTATCTCAAACCATTTAATTTCTCCCTGGGATACTTGGTGTGTCAGTTTGACTTAGATAATTACAAAATGGATGTTTGGTAAGAAAAGCAGTAGCTAAGCGTGCAAGAACCGCATCCTGTCCCAAATTTCAAAACCTTTCACGTAAACAATTCAGAAACAGGCATGATTAATCTACAAAACTAGAGATACTAGGGAACAAACTAAAATTAAATAAAGAAAAATAAATATTTTGAGAACAAACGAGGAAACAGTAAATACAACCAAGCAGCGTAAATCCTGCAATGAAAAAATCAAGCATTATAAACCGGAAACACAAACCAGAGAGAACCAAGACGTGATGGACCCAAGAGCGAATATAAAATAGGAGACAAACATCATGAAGAAAAGTAATGTTGGTCCTGCAAAATTGAACTAATGGAGGCCATGCAGTTGCATGAATGCTACAGAAAACCGTATGTTAAGAACTTAATATGAACCACTGGTAGCATCAGGATTTTCCCTACGATCCTCATCGAATCAGAAGCTGATCTTAAACTCATGCTTAGACTTTTTTTCCTTCTTCTGTGCTGGAGATCATCTGGCAAAAACAAATTGAAAAGCATTTTAGAAAGAGGACTACAAGACAACATTTGAATGTCTCGAGATTTTAGCTTGTGGTCAGCCAGAGGGACCATGACAAAAGCAGAAACCAAGGGATCCCAACTTTGACAATATTTTTCTATTGTGATCTTCTTCCTCCACTTTATCCATAGCAACTTCAACCATCCAATAGCTCTCAAATTGAGGGAAGTTGTTCTCCCAGCAATCGTACAAAATTTGCATCCAAAGAAAAGGTCATCCATATTGCAATGAGCCTTATGGATCTACACTATTTATTATGGCAGCTTTCTTTAATGCATTTTTCCAAAGAAAACTGCTGCACTGCCCAAATAAATTCAAAATAAATGGGATTGGTTTCCACTATGCTCGCGTTGATTTATCAAAATGTGAAGAGGATTTCATACATTTTTGCTTGGGAGGGTGTTGATTTGTCCATGTAAGTGAAGTGGAGCCAATCACTTTTTTGTGTTTATTTCTTTGGGGAGTGAAATTTTGATATTTTCCGCCAAAAGGAAAATTCTATTTACTTGGGACCTCATTTTGGACTTTTTTTTGGAGTTTAAGGGTTGGATGACAAATAACATAGTCTTCAAAGGTAGACTATTTTATTTTCTTAGATATTTCATATAGATAACATTTTGAACCACCCAAGTCTTCTATTAGATTTGGGAGATTGAGATTTTTCTCAGACATCTCTTATATTTAATTACATCTCGAGTTCGATACTTGACAACACTCTTGATTAATGATATCAATGTGCTCCAGATTAGTGGATAGAAATTGGGTTTATATTTGGGGGAATATATGAGAGTGAATGATCAATTAGGTTAGGATCTCATGGTTGTATTATCACAAGTCAACTTTGTGAATACAATCTAATTCTTGTAAGGAGTTTGATTAGCAATTATGGGTTGCCTCCTATGATTAGGGATCAATTGATATCAAGTGAATTTGCATAGCTACAGTTGAGAGATGATGCAAAGTTTGAATGTTTGTTATGAACTTGACCTACAAATTTTGGGATTTGATAAAATTGGAGCTTGCATCTCTCTATTTGGGCAGGGAAAGCATGGGAGACTCAAGATTTGTATATTTGGTATGAACTTAGCTTGAAGATATTTTGATTTGATGATAAGTTTGTGAAATAATCTTACTTGCTTACTAGCTTTATATCAACCTGAAGAGAATTTATTTTAATTTGATGGTGACATCTTGAGAGTTATAAGATTATTAATTTTGGTGATTTTGGGCAATTTATGGACTTCTGTCTCAAGTTGATAGAGACTTAGTTTCATGACTGTAATTTAAGTTGCTTTAGGCCAATGCGATGACTTATAGCTCAAATTGGTAGAGAAAGTGAAGAATATGATATTTAGTAGAGCATGGTTTAAAATTGCGTAATATGAGGCTCGCCTTGAGGCCTGCCTTTTTGCAATTCCAGTAAAAAACGCCTCGATGCTTACACCTCGAGTTTTTTTTATGAGGCGTGCGCCTTAACTTGGTTGAGGCCCGCCTTGAGGCCCGCTTCGCCTCACTGGCATGAAGCTTACGCCTCACGCAATATAATATATATATTAAAACTTATATAAATCTTAAAGTAAATGCCCGACATTGGACTCTATAGGAGAGGAGGAAGGGGAGAGAGCAGTTCATCATAATGATGATTCAAATGAAGATCCCCTTAGTGATGACAGTGTTGATGACTTATGAGTTCTTATGTGATATGTCATTGCTATTTATTTTTGGGAAATTGGAATTATATGTTAATGAAAAGAATATTGGGATTTGGGAAAGATAGAATTTTGAGTTGAACTATATTTCATGTTGTCTTATTATTGGGATATTTTGATTTCATGTTTACGCAATCTTTTGATTTTGAGGCTTACGCCTCAAAACGCCTTGAGGCTTACGCCTCGCCTCACGAATGAAAAATGCCTCAATACCTGAATACGCAATTTTAAACATTGTAGTAGAGGAAGTCTGAAGAATTTGAGATTTAGTTGTGCTTTTCTTGAACTCAGTTTAATCTTGTAAGGTTGAGGTTGTGTTTTTTTTTTTTTTTTTTTTTTCCTGAAGGCATGATTTAGTGAGGACTTTGTTAACAAAATTATGAAATTGGGGCTTACATTTTAGGACTGCCTAAGGAAAAGATTTATGCTTTTTAAGAAAGCTTAAAGGTGAGTTTTATGATCTAGCCTTATAAGCGAGCTAGTCTTGAAGTTATATCTATTTGGATTGCACATGTTGAATTATGTCCAATAATTTGGGCTTGATCTTTTGATTTTTGAATTTGTTTATTTGATATGTTGGACTTATATCTTAATGAAGTATGCAAAGTAGATGAAACTTATAGCTTTAACTTTGGAAAGTCACCAAATTGGTTCTTATGATCCTGATTTGAGAAGGTTCTAAAAATTTAGTGATTGAAAGGTATGTTTAGGTTTATAAGGCTTGTTAGTTCTTTGTCTACCTAATATAAGATTAAATTTTTTGTTTGAGGTTTGTAGTTTTGTGTCAACACTCGTTATGTTTAACATAAAACATATGATCCTAAAAGAAACATATAATCCTGAAGGAGATTAGAGAAGCCCAATGTTCATCATTAAAATTTGATTTGTAAGTGATAATATGGATTGATGTGATTTGAAGTTCAGGTACTATTAATTCATTTATGGGTTGCCTTAATGTTCAAGCTTATTGTCTTTAACTTTAGAAATACCCAAAAGAGTTTACTTAATTTTTGATCAAATCTTTGATGTTCGAGTAAACTTTAACTTGAAGGTTGTTGTTTGACATGTCACATTAATTGCTTTGACTTTTGAGAAATCCATGAAGTTAAGATTTATAATCCCAAGTTCATGAAGGCTAATGATGGATTTTATAATTATACCTTATAGGCAGAGTGCCCTAATGTTGAAATTTGTATGCATTTTGAATTTAAGTTGATGATTTAAAGGATTAGATTTTACAACCATAGGTTTAAAGTTACTCAAACTATTTGAATGATTTGAATTGATTTGACAGCTTGATTTATTGAGTGCGCACATGAGCAATATAAATATGCACGGATTAACAGACAAATATATGTGGTCAATCATAAGAAGACATGCAATTAAGAATGCATAAGTTAGTGGCCGAGTAGGCATAAAGAGAAGTATGCTCACGGATAAGTAATTGACTGTGCATGGATGGCCAGTTGTTGATTTAACATTAGCAAGTAGCCAAGTTTATACAACAACAACAACAACATCAAAGCCTTTATCCCACTACATGGGGTCGGCTACATGAATCCTTTTTCTCCATTGTGTCCTATTAAAAGTTAAATTTTTGTTTAAATCTAATAAAGAAATATCATTTCTAATATTTTCTAATCATGTCTTTTTAGGTCTGCCTCTACATTTCTTAACATAAGTCAAATCTAATACCTCTACTTTCCTAATCGGGTCATCGGAAGGCCACCGTTTTATGTGACCAAATCATCTAGCGCGATGCTCTCTAATTTTATCTTTTACTGGAGCTGCTCCAACCTTTTCACTTATATGCTCATTTCGTATCCTATCTAAGGGTAAAGCCACTCATCCACCTGAGCATCCTCATCTCTACCACACTTAATTTAGTATTATGCTTCTCTTTTAATGGCCAGCATTAGACACCATAAAGCATTGCAAGCCTCACCATCATCTTATAGAATTTTCCCTTAAGTTTGAGGGGTACTTTTTTTATCACACAATAAGCCCGATGCATTCCTCCACTTCAACCTTTCCAACCTGAATTCTGCTAATAATATCCCCATCTATTTCTTCATCACTCTGAACAATAGAACCAAGATATCTAAAATATGTACTCTTATTAATGACTTGATCGCCCAAAGTCACAATCCCCTCACTAGTATTACTACTAAAATTACGCTCCATATATTCCATTTTAGATCTACTCAAGCGAAAATTTTTAGACTCTAAAGTTGACCTCCATAATTCAAGTTTACCGTTTACCTTCAACTCCCTCTCTAGTCTTATCAACAAGAAGCAAGTAGCCAAGTTTATATGGTGAAGAAATTGACTTATAATTGTAAAGTAGTCAGGTTTTCATCAGTGAGTAGCTGAGTTTATGCGCGAGTGGCTTAGTTTACATAGATAAGTATTCAAGTTTATATAATAAAGTAGCCAAGTTTATTTGAGCGAGTTGGCGAGTTTATATGAGTGGATGGCTGAGTTTACATAACCAAGCAGCCGAATGTACATGTGTTAGTGCAC